GAGTAACCATTAAGAATCGGAATGTCTTCTTTCTTGTTTTCATACTTAAGATCTTCGGTATTTTGTGTTCTTCCAAAAAAAAGTTTAATGTTTGCACAAGTGAGCATAGAGTTTATGTTTAATTTTAATAGGTGTAGCCTGGCATGGTGGCATGTGGCTGTAATTCCAGCCCTTGGGAGGCTCAGGAAAGCAGGATGGCCATGAGTTCAAGGCCAGCCTGGGATATAGAGAAGACCCTGTCTCAATAAATAAGTATATAAATAAAATTGTATAATACATGTAATGTCTTAAAAAGGAAATTCCTTTGGTGGCCAATAGTATTTTTCCCTCCTCTTATTGTTTGCCATGAAGAAATGACTTTTTAAGCTATTGTTTTTGTGATTCTGAGAGATTCTAGATAACTATCTAAAAGATGACTTATTCCGATTAATTTACTTTCTTAAGTATTTCTGCTTCAGTTATCTACAGAAGAGGCTCCCTTAAATACAGTTGCTTAAGACAGAGGTCATATTTGGTCATCATCTGCATCCGAGGTGGGTGCAGGGAGACAGCTTTCTGATATTCGCGATGTCACTTGTATGACTGATTCATTGGCACGTGGTCTCCAGGACCTGGAGCGACTGGGTTTCTTCGTGTGGTTTCTCTAGCAAGGTACCTGGACTTCTGCCTCACAGTTCAGGGCTCCTGAGAACCCAAAAATCAGCAGCTGCAAAGCTTTATTAAGTTTTATGTCCGGAACTGGCAACTGTTATTTCTGCCACCACCTATTGGTTACAGCTAATCACAAGGCCAGCCAGCCCACTTTTATTTATAATATGTTCTGAATTTTTAGGAGTAGAATACTTATTTGCCTGTTAATTAGTCTTTGTCTTTTTGAAGAAACAAAAACCCTTCCTATTTCCCTTCAAATACCTCAATCACTCTCCTTGGTTTATTTCTGGTCTTACTTGAGTTTGCCCTTTAGACGTTCTTCAAAATGAGTCTGTTTTATGAGGAAATGAGGCATTCCATATATATATATATATATATATATATATATATATATATATATAAAATAGTTACATGACAGTCTGATTATATATTAAAATTATAGGTTTACAATTCTTTTAATATGTCAAGAATATTAATCATCTGTGTCCAATGTCGTTATGAAGGTATCTTTGTACTCTTTTGTAAATGATCTGTCTTTTGTTTTTTGAAAACATTAAGTTTTTTCATCTCATATAATTTTAAATGTCTCTACAGGATGTCTTAGAGTTGAGTTTTTCCTTATCTGTCATGCAGGACTGGGTAGAAAGCTAAGCACGCTAGGGGCAGAGCAGTTTAAGGAGTCACTTACTCCCCGGGTATGCAAGTGCCTCTTTAAATTTTGCATCCTTGGCCAGATGTGGTGGCACAAGCCCATATTCCCAGCACTCATGAGGCTGAGGCAGGAGGATCACAGCAAGCCAGCCTGATGCCAGCCTGAATTACAAAGTAAGACCCTGTCTCAAAAAAACAAAGTGAAACACAACAAAAACACCTGGCATTCTTGCCGCACCCATCCTGCTCGGCCCTGCTACCGTTTTGGTGTTCTATGAACTCTTTCACGTGGCACCTTTGATCTTTCTTTAATTTTTAAATGTTTATCCTCATTATTTCTTCAAATATGTCTTCTATTTCTTTTGAATTCCAGGGTTAGTGCTTCTGCCTTCCATGTTGCTTAGCTTTTCTGTTTCTATTTATTTCCTGCCATCTCTTTCTTATTCTTCTAGTTTGTGAATCTTATTTAGCTCATCTATTTTTTAAATTTTAACTGTTGCTTTTTTTATTCTAACATTAAATGAGTGGTCATTTTATGAGCTCTTAACTATTATTTCATATTATGATTTCTATTTTGGGGGATATTTTATGTGTATTTTAAATTTTTGGTGTATTAGTCAAGTATTCTGCATCACATAGTATATGGTAAGCTTTTCTCTCTCTTACCGAGTGTATAGTTTATCACAGGTCATGCTCCCTCTAGGGGATCAGGAGCTCTGTGTGAGTAAAAGGTTAATATCATGACCCGGTTTGTGTGTCCCCCAGCAAATTTAAGAAAAGAAATGAGATTCAGGCTGGAGAGCTTCAGACATCACAAAAATGGTTTTTTCCATTGCCAGTTGCTGTCACTCACTCAAGCATAGGTCAGTCATGTAGCCGAGAATCCCCACCACCGCTACCACGGGCCCTCTTCAAGCTGTTTAAAGAGACCTTGTGAGAGATGGTTGCTAGAGGAATAGTGGAGTAGATTCCCAAGGGGGCAGCACATGCCCATTTTCGTCCGTTCCTTATCCTGGAGGGACTTCTATGCTATGCTGATGTTACTATGTTGACAACAGATGGTCAAGCAGTTAGTGACAGTTTCTGTGGCCCTGTGGCAAGCACTGGGTGTTTCCAAGGCAAGTTGGAGGAAAGTAAGAGCATATTTCAAAGGCTGTCTCTCCCAGCCTACCCTTTCTTGGCTACATCTGAATCTTCCTAACCTCAGCCCAAGCTGCCACTAACCCTGAACGCTAGTTTGCCAAACCCTTCACACCAAGTTGCTAAAAGCAATGGATTTCTCACCATTTTTTGATAGGCCACTGGAGTCTAGTTTTCTTCTGTGGTTTCCCCAGGACACAAATGAGGTGGCCCTTAGCTAGCTTTGAAGTCTGTAATTTGACCTCAGCATCTTACAGACTTTATAAATATATTCCCTAAGCTTCACGACTCTGAAAACAAATTACTACTTTTTTAGAAGGAAAATGAATCTCAGTAAGGTTAAGTGATTTTTCTAAAGTTATATGTCTACAAAAATACGGTAAAGCCAGAATTTGAAAACATGCCTTCTGAAGAATCTGATCACCACCATCCTGCTCTGAGCAGAGCCCACATTAAATCCCTTCTCCAGCCAGCTATGGATTCACACTTGCTGCAAATGTGTCGTCATGGGTAGATAGGACCACTAAGCACAGTAATTCCTAGTCAATGTTCAGCCCTGTTCTTGACAAACAATATGTAGTTCCTTGTAGGTCCTCAAGCCTGGCCCCAGGTACATAGCCACAACGCCTTTCTGCTAAATCCTCCAACCTTGGAAGCCCCATTGTGACTTTTGCTTTCCGCAGCCCTCCTTTTGTAGGCTTATAACCCTGGGAAGACATTATGGCCTATACAAGAGTCTCTAGTGCAAGCAAAGTCCCTCTCGGGTTTGTTCTGCTGAGCTCATACCCTGCTGCTTTTCCTTTCTGTACTAACACCTTTTGCCGTTGTGGGGAGGGGATGTGTGTAGCTCAGTGGTAGACTATTTGTCTAACATGTGGCAGGCCCTGGGTTCAAACCTCGCTACTGAAAGAGAGAAGCAACCGTGATGTGGGTACTCCATTAACCCCACATGACTAATGCTTTATCTAGAGTTGCTTCGTTTTTATATCAGAAGTCATTAAACTATATTTCTCTAAACACTAATACTTAGATGATATTCATCTAAAAATGGTAGTTTTATGCAGGAGAAAAATATAAATTATAGATAGAACTTTCTCAATGTTGTATTTTATTAAATCCTCAGCACCGGCTTTTGTACTAGCAAGTCTTAATTAAGAAAATTGATTATTATGTAGATAATGAGTTTTAAGTAGCTGATCTCAATTAGATAGCAAGAAAAGTATATCAGTTAATATTTTTTCTGACTGTGGAATTTTAAACAATATCATATGATATATAAACATTTGATACCCATTATTCTTGCTAGTGAAGTTAATTTGCATCAATATACGAATATCAGCCCAGCATGGTGGTGCACTCCTGTAATCCCAGCGCTCACAAGGCTGAGGCAGGCAGATCATTGTAAGTTTGAGATCAGCCTGGGCTACAAAGTGAGTTCAAGTCCAGCCTGACCCGCGTAGTGAGACCCTGTCTCAAAAAGACAAAACAAAGAATATCAGTTTTAATTCATGAATGCCTCACAGTGTAAATTTACTAACATTTATCTTGCATGTGAATTATGGCTATTTTAAAGGTGTGGTGTTTGAAGTAAATTTAATTTCACTTTTAATAGTTAATATATGAATATGGCACAAAATTCAAATGATAAAAATGTATACACAATGAAAAGTAAATGTAGCTCTCTCTGCCTCTGTTCAGTAACCCAGTTCTCCCTACAGTGACCACTGTTATCATTTTCTTACGTATTGTTCCATAGACATGCTAGATATATATAAACTGCTGTGTCCATATTATTTAAAAGTGAAGTTAAAGTTTTTTCCTTGACAGAATTGCTTCATTAACTTGGTTTGATGGTCAGCAGCACTTGGAAATTGCTCTAATTGTCTAATTACCTTCTAAAAGTAAAACGACAACAAATTCTTGAAATTAAAAACGTTAAACAGGTGTATCAGAGACTCAGATTGAGGTTATTCAAAAGTAATTTTAAAGAACTTAATACTTGCGCCAATGTTTAAAACTTATGTCACTGGTGAAACGAAAGTGCTGTGCATTCTGCTGCGGAGCCAGCAGTCCGTGGTCTCCAGCTCACTCTGCAGCACCGCTGGAGACAGCTGGAGGGTAGAATGCCTCCCACTACCGTACTGCTTGGCCACAGCTACGGGTGCAACCTAAAACTTCTCATATTCTTCCTAGGAATAAAAAAAGTTGACAAACAAATTATACTTATGTTTTTCTAAAACTTATCTGCATCTATGTAAAAGAATGTAACATGTTAAGGTCAATAGCTTTTTAATACCATTATGTTACTATTAACATTAGCTTAAAGTACAAATCATTCCACACGTGCGGCTAATTTGGTTGTTTTGATTTGGTTCTTTTCATGGAGACAGAATGGCATATCAATTATATTTATCATCTATGTGTAGGTAAGTAACCTTGCATACTTGAATTTCATTTTGGGCATGTTTATAAAGAAGAAGCATTAGGAGTGTCATTATATTTCTATAGATAAATTAATTATTTCTTGGTTTCAAAAAAATGTATTTTCTTTTTCTGAGTTCCGCTTGCCTGTCCGGATGCATCAGCAGAACTTCAAAATAACTTTATAGAATACATCTCTTTCATACATCAGTATGATGCCAGGAATTCCCCCAATGAGCCCATCCGGGGAAAGGTGAGGCATTATTTAGAATTATTTAATACTTCACAAAAGATTTATGGTAGAACTTTAAGTCTTTTCAACTTATAATCATCTTCATAAAAGTATATGTAAACCAACAAACATAGTTATTTGAGGACAGAATCTTAGCTACATCCCATAGTAAAAACCAAGGAATGTTAATCATAATTTTGAATCAGATTTTGGAGACTTGGTTTACTTAAATTACTGAAATTATTTGATTAAGCTAATATCAAAGCAATTTGATAAATCTTTTGTGTGGCAGGAGATTTATACAAGGTTTATAAAGCCAAGTAAAAATGAATAGTCCGTTGTTGGATCTTTTCACCTACAGATGTTTGCTTTCATATTTCATTATAACTAGGCCTCTTGTTGGAACTAATAGGCATTTGGAATGCAATCATAAATTCTTAGGTTTATGAACTGTTTCTGTTATATCCATAGTAACTTAGCAAGAAATGAATTTAATATAAATCTTACACAATCCAAATGATAGAAAAGCTGAGAAATGGAAGATAATGAAATGATGCTTTTTTGAATCTCTGCTGCTTCTCCTTCCTGCTCATATACTAGTGCATCCTGTTTTGTAATTTGTTTACAAGGGTCATGAATAATTACTGGGGCGGCATCTGTAGTTTTGGACTAAGATGATGACTGCTGAAGGGGCAGAATTAAGTGCCTGCAGCACAGGACTTGAGCCACCCCATGAACTCAGCTCCAGCTTGCAGCAGTGTGTTCTCCCAGTTAATGTCAACTTTGTTTTCCTTTCCAGAGACATGGAGCTTTTGTGCAGAGAGAGATAAAACCAGGGAGTAGGCCAGCAGTTCCTATGGGAACAGAGGTATTATTGAATGCTTCGGGGTCATGTTCATCAGAACAGTCCAAAAAAACAGAGAAAGGAAATTCAGCGGGAAGCAGAATGATCTCACCAGGTCTCTGCCAACAAAATTCCCAAGAGCTGTTAGAGACTTAAAACTCACTTATCAGAAACAGACGGCAGATGGACAGCCAAGTCACACCCCAGAAGCCCCAGAGGAGGAAGAAGACTGCAGGCATCTTTCAAACAACGGCAGGACGTGCTGCTCTCACCAGGCACAAGCCTTTACATTCACCAATAAAGAGTCCAGATAAGTTATCATCTTCAGACAGAAACACTATCCCTGGATGCAGAGAAATTTCGTAATCTGTATTCAGCAGCTGGCACTTATTTTTGTTATTAAAAAGCTCAAAATATATAGTTTACATATAGGAAAAAAGGGGGGACCCAGGTTTTAATAGAGATATCTGATAAGATAGACTATGAAACATTATTTCATATCATTTATAAATAAAACAACTTGGTTTCTATATGATTACAAACTTTTAAAGGAGAAGCCTTATCCGTCATTAGTTAGAGTTCCGAAGTCAAAACAAATTGGGTTTAGGATGTTGGCTCCACATCATCTGAGCTGTTTGACTGGTGGTAAGTTACTGAACCCCTACAGACTTCAGTTTTCTCATCTGTAACATTAGGAAAACAGAAATTTTATAAGATTATTCATCATGAAATTATGTATATAATGGTTAGTAAGTTAATGTAATCATCACTATTACTAAAATTTAAATTTAAGGATTATGTAAGTTTGTATGTTGTAAGTTTTCCTCCTTATTTTAAAACTTACAACTCCTCTGTATGCAATTAAGAGGGCAAAAATCTAAAAAACATTTGTTAGTTCATGACACATATACACACTTAACTCAAAGGTGATGAATAATTAGGATATCAAAAATATTTTCCAAACTCTTTCCTATTTTATTGATTTCTACTGCCAACTCAAACTACTATTTGGTCAGTTTGGTAAACATTACTCCTACCAGTGAGTTCTCCTGATATGTCTGATATGCTGTGATGTGTCCGTTACGAGATACGTTACATTGCGGGCAAGTGGAATACTTTTCTACTATAAAGAACGCAAACTTCCGCAGCAATATATCAGTTTCTTACTATTTTCTGTGATACTGATAAGGCTGCAGGATACCTTTATTATTTTATCCTCCCTCTACTTAAGAATTCTAACATACTACAAGAGAATAAGTGCCATTAATGTAATTTATGTGTATGCCAGAGACTTCTGGTTCTTACGACATGGCAAAATAAAGCTAATGGCGAACCTCTTCTATTTGAAATCCTTTAAAATGATAAATAAAATAACTGAGCAACAAAATGTATACCCAAGCTCAAACAATAAAACTTTCATGTTCCAAAACAATTCAGTGGTAGAGCACTTGTCTAGCCTATGCAAGGCTGTGGGTTCAATATCCAGTACTGCAGAAAGCAGGATGGAGGGGCCTTGCTGGTATCAATGTATCTATCCATTACCTACCTTTCATCTGTCTGTCTGTTTCGTAGAGCTCCTTCCTAATTAATACATGCAGACTATCTTTTTATGTTATAGCATTACAAACTTCTGTGGTATAGAAGAACCTTGCTATATAGCTGGCACAAACAGAATGCAAGTTTTGATGTGGGGGGAAAGAAAAGGGAAATATTGACAGCAAATTTATAAAAAGGATAGAGGTTTGAATTTTAGTGCACATCTGAAAAGAAATGAAACTATGATCTCCAAAGTAGAGACAGAGAAAGAATTGCAGCCTGCATGATGCTAAAAATGACTGGCCTGTCAATAAAAAGTACACTACATTCCACTTTCAACCAGGAAAGCTGCAAGAAATCTTGTCTCTGTCTGGAGGTATAGATAGTGAATAAACTCTTTGTGAGAAATTAAAACCCTGATCTCTGGGGGGGTATCAGGAATCAGACTCAGGACCTTGCACTTGCTAGGCAGGTACTTGTGCCACTAAGCTATATTCCTGGCCCTAAAACTCTAATCTTGTGCCACATTCTGGTTTGGAATATAATTTTATATGTAGGACTCCTCCTAGGATACACAATTAGCATAAAAATCCTACTGGTGATACCTCTGAGGTGTCTGATAAAAACAAGTACAAAGCTCCCTAGAGACGTAGTTCCATGATTCACAGGAAAAACAATCTCTACTAAAGAGAAGGTTACAAATCACATAAAGAAGAAAAACTGCGTAAGAGTCTGCAATAAAAGAATGGTTAAAGCCTCAAAACTAGAAATAATAAAATTAAAATGCTCTTGATTTATAAAGATCCTTCTCCCCCCACCCCCTTTTTTATGCGTTTGCAGGCGGTCTGGAACTTACACGAGCCTCCCGCATGCTAAGCACATGCTCTGCCCCTGGACTCGGTCCCCAAAGCTTGCTTTCTTTCTTTCATTGCAGGAAATTTTGTGTTGCCTTTCCTGTTATTTCTCCTCTATTTCCTCTTTTCTTTTGCAACAGCTATCGTCTGCGTGTTAGAACACTTGAGTCCATCTTTGAAGTCTCTTAATTTTCATTGCCTTTCTATGGCACTTTGCACTAAATGAAGCAAGAATTCCCTTGATACTGGCTTTCTGCTAATTTGCTTTCAGCCATGTCTATTCTTATGCCAGACTAGCTATTAAAATTTAAAGAGACCATCTACTGAACCTTGAGTACTTTTAAGATATACATGCACTTCCTCAATGTCAAGGACTTCTCCTATATTACGGGTATGATAGCCTGTCTTATTCTACTTTGCATATTGTAGTGACATTGAATGCCTTTTGGTTGTTCCCTTAATTCTGTTAATCTTTGGTGAAAGTGATGCCTCATGCTCTTGATATGACACTTTTTCTCAAATACTTGGTGGTTCTTGGTTGTATATTCTTCTTTGATTATAAGATTTCTAGATGATTATCAGTATCATTATCAGTATTACAGATGGGATCTGAGGACAGTTTGACTGACGGGCTCTTTGATCCTCCTGCGCAGAAGCTGCCTTGCCTCTTCCTCTCTGTGGTATGACTCAGTTTCTGGCATTGGCTGCCCATTTTTTAGCACAAGCAGGAGAAAAAGGAGAGATGGCTTATTTCTAACTGGAAATTTGTTGGACCAGAATAAAGACAGTATTTCTCAGCTTCCCTTACAGCTAGGTTAACCATTTGACTATTCTGAGATATAACCAAAACAGTACGTATTACTTCCAAAATATCTTTGAAGGGAAAAGATAGGCTCCTCTCTGTATTTTTTCCCTTCCTAGTAGTTGGAATGTAGATGTGACGGTTCTTGCTGAGAAGAAGTAATAATAAAATGAAAGGGTCTTCGGGCCTCTGACATCATCAGATACCACGTGGTGACTTAATTTGTGTGAGAAAAAAATAAAGTTCCATCTCAAATAAACCACTATGATTTGGGGGAGTGTTCATCACTTGCAGCAGCAGAATATAGCCTTAGGCTACACAATGACTGAGAATTTTCTAGAATTAAAAATGTGAGTGTTCAATTTGAAGGAAAAAATGAATTTTGAACACATAATAGGAAAACTACAGAATGTCACATTAAAAAGAAAAACCTTATCAGAGATAAGTACATTCTTACTAAATCATAAAGTTAGTGGACTTTTCATCCACTGAAACAGATGCAAGAATTATCTTAGAGTTGTATAAAAAAAGATGAAGGCAATAATGGTCAACTCAGAATTTCATACTGAGGTAAATTATAAATAAGGGTAGCCAGGCATGGTGGTATACTCCTGTAATCCCAGCATTTGGGAGGCTGAGACAGGAGAATCATTTGCAAGTTTGAGACCAGTCTGGGCTACAAAGAGAGCCAAAGTCCATCCTGAACTGCATAGCAAGACCCTGTCTCTGAAAGACAAAAAAATAAGGGTAAAACATAGGCATTTTCAGATATACACAGGATAATAATCCAAGCACTTACATAACAGAATTGTATAAGGCATATTATTCTAAATGTTTTTTATATTTTAGCTCATCATCCAGAGAATATTCCTCAGATATAGATGCTTTTTTATGAAACAGTATTAATACTATTACTAATACAACTGTAGTAATAATACTATTATTATGAAACTAATATACAGAGAGACTAAGAACTTGCCCAGGGTCACACGTAACCAAATTGGGATTCAAGCCCAGGTATTACACTCCAGACTCATCCCTTATCGATACCTTACGCTCTCTCAGACTAGTGGGATTACCTACCCACAGATTTTCACCAAGGTAACTTCCAAAACATGTCATTTAAGATTGATATTAAATCTGGACAAAAAATGTAGGTTGTAAGAAAAAAGCAAGACAAATCCATAATTTATGCTGCTTGACCTATGTATTAATAGAAATACTCTCATGAAATGATCCAAGTAATAGTTGCTGGAGATTATTTTTCTTGTATTTCTTTATTTGGCAAAAGAAAATATTTGACAACTCTCATTTCCTTCAAAAATCTGGAAATTTTCCTGGTCTGTGAAATCCCAGTCTGGAAATTATTTATCCTAGTGATTGTGCAACAAAGGTTTTTTTTGTTTTTTTTTTTTTTTCTTTAATGGAAAAAAAACCCCCAGATTTTCAAGATTTATTGCAAGTGTGTCTTTGATAGTAGAATGGAGGCATTTGTGTTCACAGTGTAAAGAGGACAGGCTGTATGAAGCCCTTAAAATCATTGTGTTGGGGCATGGCACCCATCAGGGAGATGCTATGTAAGAGACAATGTAAGAAAAAATAAAAGGAGAAAAAGACACCCTCCCACTATAAAAGTTCATTGCCAATTTATTAAGACTGATGAAGAGAATGTTTTAGCTGATAAAATATATCAAGATGATATTTCATCCACAAAGATAGAGTGCAGTGCTGTAATGTCAGTGTGGCTCTGCCAGTGTCAACATGAACTTTGCAAGAGAGAGATCATTTAACTTTTTACCTACTTATAATACTTTATTATACAAATTGTTCTAATTGCTCCTTTAATTATCTTTTAAATACTGTAAAGTGAAAAACCTAATAGTTGCACTCCTCAGGTCAGTACCTGGGACTCCACAGATAAAATCCAGATGCTCAAATATCTTATCTAAAATGGAATTGTATTTGTATATCACCTTTGCATGCCCTCTTGTATACTTAAATCACTCTCGATTACTAATACTACTTAATTCAAGGTAAATGCTATATATACATTGTTGCTATATTATAGAGGAAATCATGATATGAAAATAAAGTTTGTCCATGTTCAGTAGAGCTGCAGTTTTCTTTTTCAGATATTTTCGATCGGTGGTTGGTTGAACCCACAGACAGAGAACCCGTGAGTACAAAGGGATGACTGATGGTGTTTCACTTTTTAATTTAAGGAACATGGAAGCTCACATAACTTCCTCATTACCAAGTCAACATGTTGCACTGGGAGACACTGCCACACTGCTGCCCAGAGCTCGTTGCTCTCTGTTTCACAATCTTAAGTTGAGAAAACATATGACCTAACATGGTTTGCCTGGCTCAAATGTTTTTTAAATTATTTTTTATTTTAAATAGATTAAGACAAAAGAGGATAGAACAAAGCAGATTGGAACAATGTAAGCAGCACAGTACTTCACCACAAGACAGCCTGCTATTAACAGTAGCTACCATAGTGTCTCTTTCTTTGAAATAGTTGAGCATACCTTCACATACAATAGTATCAAACATAACAAATAGTATAAATATTCAAGAGAACAAAAGTATTACAGAGCGTTCAGAACCAAATAACCAAAAACGAACAATGGCTACTTTATTATCTCAAGTTGTATCCATTTATTTATAAATATCTCAATGTGATCCTTCTTTATAGCTGAGCAGTACTCCGTTGTATAAAAATACCACAGCTTTTTTATCCTTTCCTCAGTTGATGGACTTAGGTTGTTTCCAAGATCTGGCTATTAAAAATTATGCTGCTAAAAACATGGGTACACATATATCACTGTAGTATGATGTGTTCAGTTCTTCTGGGAATATGCCTAGAAGTGGAATAGCTGGAACAAATGGGACTTCCAATCCCAACTTTTTGAGGAATCCCCAGACTGACCTCCACAGTGGTTGCACCAGTCTACACTCCCACCAACAGTGCAGGAGAGTTCCTTTTCCCCACGTCCTCTCCAGCATTTGTTGTTGGTAGTTTTCTTGATCCTGGCCATTCTTTCAGGATTGAGATGAAATGTCAGCGTGGTTTGAATTTGCATTTCTCTAATGACTAATGATGATGAACATTTTTTCATGTATTTAATTGCCATTTGTATTTCTTCATCTAAGAATTGTGAATTCATCCCAGATGCCCGTTTTTGGACTGGATCTTTGAATTTCAGGGGTCTGATTTTTTTTTAATTCTTTATATGTTTTAGACAGAAGGCCTTTGTCTGAGGGACAGTTCACTAAGATTTTTCCCAGTTTGTGGGTTTTCTTTTCCCTATGCTGGAGATTTCTTTTGACATGCAGAAACTTTTTAATTAGATGTGATCCCAGTTATTGATTCTGGGAAGTAGTTCCTGTGCGGTTTGATTCCGGTTCATGAATTCTCTACCTACTCCTATGTCTTCAAGGTTTTTACCTATTTTGTCTTCCAACAGATTTAGTGTTTCTGTTTTAATATTCAGATCTTTGATCCATTTAGATTTTAGTTTATTACATGGTGATAGGCATGGGTCTAGTTTTAGTTTTTGGCATTTGGAGAGCCAGTTTTTCCAGAAGCATTTATTAAAGAGACTGTGGTTCTTCCAGTGAACATGTTTAGCCCCTTTATCAAAGACAAGGTGGTTGAGTGTGTTTGTTGTGGTTGTATCTTCTAATCTATTCCACTGATCTTCATATCTATTTTTATTCTAGTACCATGTTGATTTTTATTCCAGTAGCTTTGTGTAGTATAACTTCAAGTCAGGGATTGTGATGCCTCCTGCCTTGCCTTTGCTGCTTAGAATTGTCTTTGCTATTCTAGTCTCTTCTGGTTGCATATGAATTTTAGGAGTGATTTCTATAGATCTATGAGTTATGTTGATAGTATTTTTATTGGGATTGCATGGAATCTGTCTAACAGTTTTGGGGAAATGGCCATTTTCACAATATTTATGCTTCCTGTCCATGAACAAGGGATGTCTTTCCATTTTCTGAGATCCTCTTTAATTTCTTTTTTCAGGATACTATAATTTTCCCTGTATAGATCTTTTACTTCTTTCATGAAATTCACTTCTAAGTTTTTCATTTTTTTGGATGCTAGTGTGAAGGGTGTGGCTTCTCTTATTTCCTTCTCTGTGATTTTGTTGTTAGTATGTAGGAATGCTATTGATTTTTGAGTATTGACTTTGTATCCAGTCACATTGCTGAATTTATTGTATCTAAGAGTCTTTCAATGGAGTTATGGGGGTCTCCTATGTAGAGCATCATGTCATCTGCAAACAATGATAATTTAACTTCTTCTTTTCCTATCTTTGCCCATTTCTCTCTCTTGTCTAATTGCTCTGGCTAGTATTTTCAATACTGTGTTAAATAGGAGTGGCAATAAGGGACATCCTTGTTTTGTGCCTGATTTTAAGGTAAAGGCCTTCAGTTTTTGGCCATTTAATATGATGCTGGCTTTTGGTTTGTCACAGATGGCCATTATCATGTTGAGGTAAAGACCATCTATTCCAGTTTTCTGTAAGGTTCTTATCATGAATGAGTGTTGCACCTTATGAAAAGCTTTTTCTGCATCTATACAAATGATCATGTGGTTCTTACTTTTGGCTCTACTCATATGGTGGATTACATTTATTGATTTATGTATGGTGAACCATCTCTGCATGCCTGGGATGGATCCCATTTGGTCATGGTGTATAATCTTGATGATTTGCTGCATCCTCTTTGCCAGTATTTTATTGAGGATATTTGCATCTGTGTTCATTAGAGAGACTGGCCTGTAGTATTCCTTTTTAGTTGGGTCTTTCTCAGGTTTTGGTACTAGAGTAATATTTGCTTCCAGGAGTGACTTAGGAAGGATTGCTTCCCTTTCAGTTTCATTGAAGAGTTTGAGGAGTGTCAGCATTAAGTCGTCTTTCTATTTCTTGTAGAATTTCACAGTGAAACTGTCAGGGCCTGGGCTCTTCTTTGTACATAAGAACTTAATTACATTTTCAATTTCATTAATTGAAGTTGGATTATTCAGCAGTTTTACATCGTCTTGACCCAGCTTTGGTACTTCATATGTTTCTAGGAATCTGTCCATTTCTTCTATGTTATCAAACCTATGAGAGGAGAGGTTTTCAAAATAGGTGTTGATGATCTTCTGTATTTCCACAGAGACTGTAGTGATTTCACCTTTTTCATTCCTTATTGCATGAACTCTTTGATTCATCAAAGCTTCCCCTGGGTGTGCTGGAAATCATCTCCTCTGCCCTCAGCTTTTAGGACTGAATGAAGGATGCTGAACATGGTCCAGTCAGGCCCGCAGGACCTCCCATGCCATCTCCCGTGTTCCAGGAAACTGGGCAGGCTCCTTACCTACCATTCTGGGTGATGGTCCAAAGCTCTCCCTGGGCAAGCACCGATGCCCTGGAACTCACTTCATGTGCCCTCAGCTGCCCTGATTGAAGAAGGCCACTGGGCATGGTCTAGTTGGGCCTCAAAACCTCCCAAGCCTAATCTAGTGTGGCTGGAAGCTGGACGGGCACTTAACTGCTGGTAGTGATGATCTTAAACTCTCCTCAGGCCCACTCTGGTGTGCTGGAACTCGGGTATCTCCAGTTCCCCAGGTTGAAAGAATGTCACTGGGCATGGTCCAGCCAGGCCACCGAACCTGCAGAGCCCAGTCTAGCGTGGCTGGAAGCTGGACATGTCCTTAACCACTCATGGCTAAAATATTAACCATAGCAATAGCAGAAATTAAATTTCTAGGTTCTTTAATAGAAAAAAGTTAGCGGGGAGGAGTTTTTGTTTTTAATTGCTTTTGATTTTGTTTCTTTATAGTGGTAGCAGGAGCAGATTATTTAACCATGGTAGAACTTGGGTATAGTGGGAATATATATATATATATTTGTACTGGGGATCAAACTCAGGACCTTGTGCTTGCCTAGCAGACATTTGTGCTGCTGAGCTAAACACCTGGCCTGGGAAGGTATTTTTTAAAGTAAGACTTTAAATTGAAATTTTCTTGAAAGTCCCTTCTATGGCTTGTAATATCCAGTATGCAATTTTGTATCCAATAATACTTACACTAAATATCACTGAGCTAGAAGGACAAATGGAAAGGGGGAACAAAATACATCCATTTGACTCAGGTGGTTCCTTTCTGAGTATCTTCACAAGTGCTAGAGGCCTCCTGTTACGGTGATACATGTATAACCACGTTTACAGCAGCACAGTTAATTTACAGTAGCTAAATCTTAGAAACTGCCTATGTGCCCATAAACAGCTGAATAGATAAAGAAACAATGGGGCTGTACTCTGCCATCAAGGATAAACATGAAGCATTTGTAGGTAAATGGAATAGCCTTCAGAACAAAGTTAACAAATAAATTATACACAAGTTTAGATATCACAATTTTTCTCATATGGAAAACCCAAAATATAAATAAACAGAAAAGAGTAAATAAGATGGGTAGATAGTATATAGACAATAGAAAGTAAGGAGGTATTTCTCAAAGGGAAAAGGGAATAAGACTGAGGAAGGGGGAGGGAAGGAAGGGAAGGAACTTCAATGAGCCTCCTCTGCGTGTCATCTCCTCTCCAAGCTCTGAGATAGCTGCATCCCTGCAGCATCCTCACCAGCACACACCAAGCACTGGGGACCCTCATCTCCCTAACCCTGCCCTAAGTCTGGGAAGCAAGAGGGGCCAAGCAAATGAACAGTGGCTGCTGAGTCCACCCAGCTACCCGTGTTGGCCTGAGTCACCACTGAACACTCCACATCAGTCCTGGGCCTGCCTAAATCACCATGGAGCATTCTGGGCCCACCCGAGTCTGCCTGGCTTCTCAGGTTGGTCTTATGGCTGCCAGAGTCCCTGTCTGGCACTCTGCAGTGCTTCCAGGACCACCTGAGTCTCCACCAGGTTCCCTGAGCTTGCAGTGCCTGTTAACCTGCACACTCCCTAGACTCACCAGAGTCTCTGTCTGGCAGCCTGCATCATTCCGAAGCAGCCTGAGTATCTGTAGTGCCCCAAGCCTGCCTGAGTCTCCACTCAATGCCAAATCCCCCATCCCCTTTCTGAGTGTATGAGGGTCTCCGTCTGGCACCCCACATC